AGGGTCTTATGTAGCCCAGGCTGGCCTCAAACTCATTTTGTACTGGGGCTGGCCTTGAACTCCTGACCTTCCCGTTTCCATGCTCCAGGGCTGGGATGACTAGTATGCACCTCTCTGGGCAAAGGTAGCGATGGCAGCCCCTGCCCTCGGGGACCACGGGGGAGCTGTGAGTGGTGGGAGAGGCCAGACACATCCAGTCCCCGGTGACTGACAGCTGCGGGCTCCACAGTGCAGGAGGGGGTCCCGCTGGCGGAGATCCTGGGGTGGGCCCGGGACGCGAGCAGGCAGGGCCCTAGTGGCCAGCACGTGCCCGGTCCCCTGCGCGGCCACACGGGGGGGGTCCCTCCCGCGCCGATGCCTGATGCCGCCCTGTCTTCGCAGCCGTGCAGCGAGGCCGCATCCCGCACGCGCTCCCGGGCCCCGCGGCCTGCAGTCCCCCGGGCGCGGCGGGCGTCGAGCCGTTCGCGGGGCCACCGGTGTCCGAGCTGATCGTGCAACTGCTGCGCGCCGAGCCCTACCCCGCGGCCGGGCGCTTCGGCGGCGGCGGCGCCGTGCTGGGCATCGACAACGTGTGCGAGCTGGCGGCGCGCCTGCTGTTCAGCACGGTCGAGTGGGCCCGCCACGCGCCCTTCTTCCCCGAGCTGCCGGCCGCCGACCAGGTGGCGCTGCTGCGGCTCAGCTGGAGTGAGCTGTTCGTGCTGAACGCGGCGCAGGCGGCGCTGCCGCTGCACACGGCGCCGCTGCTGGCCGCCGCGGGGCTGCACGCCGCGCCCATGGCCGCCGAGCGCGCCGTGGCCTTCATGGACCAGGTGCGCGCCTTCCAGGAGCAGGTGGACAAGCTGGGCCGCCTGCAGGTGGACGCCGCCGAGTACGGCTGCCTCAAGGCCATCGCGCTCTTCACGCCTGGTGAGCCCGCCCCGCCTGCTCGCGGCGACCCGATCCCGGCCAGGGCCCCGCCCCCAGGCTGCCCCTCCGACAGGCCACGCCCCCTCGCGGATATCGCCCCGGCGCTGACCCAGGCCCCGCCCCGCCCCGCCGGCAGGGAACACACCGCACGCCCTCCCCCTAGGTAACCCCGGCCGGTCCGGGCCAGGCAGTCCCCAAGCAGGCCGAGAGACAGGTGACACAGGTGACATCCCTGCACCTGCCACCGGCCTCGCCCCAGCTGCCCCAGACCTTGCTGCTTGTCCTCCTCCTGTGGCCCCATCGCGCCCCAGCTTATCCAGACTACCCTGCTGGACTCGGGCATTCTGGAAGCTACAGTGCAGCCAAACTCCAGGCCACACCCATGGGGCAGCCCTTGGGCTCCCGCCTCTGCCCCGGCCACGCCCCACAGGGCCCCTCTGCCTCTACTGCCGCGTCCCCGAGGCCGCAGCTCGTGGCATGCCTTTCCCGTCCTTGGGAGGGACCGTGGCTGCCCCCAGGGCTCTACAAGTCGCCTCAGCCCTTTGGTGGCTGCCAGGGCAGGACGGTAGAGTCTGGGGCCCGCCCGAGCCTGCTCCTCGGGGCGTGGCTTAGGAGAGGCCCCTCCCACGGGGCGGGGCTGGCACTGTTGGGGCCCACCCATGAGGAGGTGCAGAGGTGCTGCGCTCGGGCGCCCCAGCCTGTGCCCTCGGTTCTGCGTGGTTGCCTGGCGGGCCCTGGCGTAGATGTTCCCCTGTGCCTGGGGACCCGCCTCTGCTCGCCCCTCCTCGGGGGCGTCCCTGCCTCTCCCCTAACGTGACTTGTGGTCGCTGCCTCTGCAGATGCCTGCGGCCTCTCTGACCCCGCCCACGTGGAGAGCCTGCAGGAGAAGGCGCAGGTGGCCCTCACCGAGTACGTGCGCGCCCAGTACCCGTCGCAGCCTCAGCGCTTCGGGCGCCTGCTGCTGCGGCTGCCCGCCCTGCGTGCTGTGCCGGCGTCCCTCATCTCCCAGCTTTTCTTCATGCGCCTGGTTGGCAAGACGCCCATAGAGACGCTCATCCGGGACATGCTGCTGTCGGGGAGCACCTTCAACTGGCCCTACGGCTCGGGCTAGTGATGGCCACCTCCAGGACACACGGATGCTAGGACCTTGTGAGACCCTGGGCCAGGGCCCCAGCTTCTCTCCCGAGACTGCTTCTTTTATAAAGACTGAAATGTTTGTCTGTTTTGTTTTTATAATAATCATGAAACCAAAAAGAATTTACTCTCACAGGCCCCAGCCCTGTCCTCCCAGCAGCTGCTGCTCAGTGGGGCCGAGGAGCCCGTGTGGTGGGGAAGGACCACTGTGTGCCGGGAGAGTCCCTGGATACGTGGCCCATGATGGGCACTGTGACCAATCACGGCCAATAATAAAGATATTCCCTTACTTGCTCGGCCTACCTTTTCTTCTGCTGTGCCGGGAAGCAACCCCCGCGTCTAACCTGTGCTCAGCAGGCTCCAGTGGGGTAGAAGCCTCATCCCATGGAGAAGTCAAAGCCCGTGGTAGAGGCTTTCCCAAGACATCTTTGCACCTGCTGAATCGAGTCACGCCACAGCCTTGGGTGTTTCAAATATCAACCTGCCTTTTTATTTTTTGGGTTTTTTTGAGACAGGGTTTCTCTCTGTAGCCCTGGCTGTCCTGGAACTTGCTCCGTAGACCAGGCTGGCCGCGAACTCACAGATCCACCTGCCTCTGCCTCCGAATTAAAGGTGTGCACCACCGTGTCTGGCTTCAACCTACCCTTTTTTTTTTTTTTTTTTTTTTTTTTTTTTGGTTTTTACGAGACAGGGTTTCTCTGTATTGTTTTGGAGGCTATCGGTCCAGCCCGGCCTCGAACTCACAGAGATCCGCCTGCCTCTGCCTCCCAAGTGCTGGGATTAAAGGCGTGCGCCACCACCGCCCGGCTTCAACCTACCCTTTTATGGCAGGGTCAATTTGAGTTCAGTTTCTTCTCTCAAGTCACAAATCACTGTTTCTAAACTGGCCACAAAGAAGGTGGGGACCGGCCTTGAAATGTAAACTTAGCTGTGGTGATGTAGTGTCGAACTGGGGAGTAGTGGTGCACACTTTAAATCCCAGCACTCGGGAGGCAGAGGCACATGGGTCTCTGGGAGTTCGAGGCCAGCCTGGTCTACAGAGTGAGTTCCTAGGCAGCCAGAGCTACACAGAAAGCACAACAAGAGAGAAGTATCCGGGAGTTAGGGGTCCAACTTGAGAGTGGGATTGGGCACCAGGTCTATGCTTGGCGGCCGCGTGTTCAGTCTCCAGCTGACCTGCTTTTCCTACAAACCCACGCATGTTGCCCTTTCTGCTGGAAGACATCTGGGGCTCGCTGGCTTGGGGCTTACCGGCATTCCAGGGCCAGGGGTGACTGACTACCCTGGTGGCCAGGACCAGACCTGGCCTGCCGCTACTGCTGCTGCTGCCCTGGCCCTGGCCCTGGCCTGCTGCTGCTGCTGCTGCCGCTACTGCTGCTGCTGCCCTGGCCCTGGCCCTGGCCCTGGCCTGCTGCTGCTGCTGCTGCTGCCCTGGCCCTGGCCTGCTGCTGCTGCTGCTGCTGCTGCCCTGGCCCTGGCCCTGGCCCTGGCTCTGGCTCTGGCCTGCTGCTGCTGCTGCTGCTGCTGCTGCCCTGGCCCTGGCCCTGGCTCTGGCTCTGGCCCTGGCCTGCTGCTGCTGCTGCTGCCCTGGCTCTGGCTCTGGCCCTGGCTCTGGCTCTGGCCCTGGCCTGCTGCTGCTGCTGCTATCCTGGCCCTGGCCCTGGCCTGCTGCTGCTGCTGCTGCCCTGGCTCTGGCTCTGGCCCTGGCTCTGGCTCTGGCCCTGGCCTGCTGCTGCTGCTGCTATCCTGGCCCTGGCCCTGGCCCTGGCCCTGGCCCTGGCCTGCTGCTGCTGCTGTCCTGGCCCTGGCCCTGGCCCTGGCCCTGGCCTGCTGCTGCTGCTGTCCTGGCCCTGGCCTGCTGCTGCTGCTGCTGCTGTCCTGGCCCTGGCCTGCTGCTGCTGCTGTCCTGGCCCTGGCCTGCTGCTGCTGCTGTCCTGGCCCTGGCCTCCTGCTGCTGCTGTCCTGGCCCTGGCCTGCCGTTGCTGCTGTCCTCTATGGCGGGGTTAGGGTCCCACTGTGCAGCCTAGCTTCTGTGCAGCACCCCTCTGACCCTCTTACCCCACCAAGGCCAGGTAAAGGGAAGCCTGATGTGGAGGCCAGGGTGGACCCCTGGAGACAGCTCCCAAGCACTGCCCAGGAAGCCTCAGGCACAGGGCTTGGGTCTAACCCTCCTGGTATGTCTCCATTCATAAGGCTTACGGAAATGATTGGTTTGGGACAGTTGCCATGTAGCCCAGGCTGTCCCCAACTTATGCCTTCTGTCTATATCCCCAGGACAGGTTCTGCCTCTGAACCTCATTTCCCCCTCAGTAAAAGGAAGGGATGCTTTTAGACAGCTGAACACTCAGATGGACTTGACAGACATCTATAGAACATTCCACCGAAATAAGAGAATACACCTTCTTCTCAGCACCTCATGGATCCTTCTCTAAAATAGACCACATACTCGGGAACAAAGCAAGCCTAAAACAGATATGAAAGAATTGTAATAAACCCCTGTACCCTATTGGATCACCACAGCTTAAAGTTACAATTCAACACAAACATTAATCTCAGAAAGCACACAAACACATGGAAATTGAGCAATGATTAACTGAACCACCCCTGGATAAAGGAAGAAATAAAGGAAGAAATTAAAGACTTCCTAAGATTTAATGAAAATGACCTCACAACATACCCACACTTGTGGAACACAGTGAAAGCAGTGCTGAGAGGAAAGTTCATAGCACTAAATGCCCACACAAAGATCCTGGAAAAATCCCACACCAGTGAATTAACAGAACAACTGAAAGCACTAGAACAAAAAGAAGCAAACTCACTCAGAAGGGTAGACGGCAAGAAATAGTCAAATTGTGGGCTGAGATCAATAAAATAGAAACAAAAGAATGCAAAGAATCAATGAGAGACAAAGAATTGGTTCTTTGAGAAATTCAACAGAATAGACAACGGCACACAGCAGGTGCCTAATCCATGTTTATTCTCTGGGATTCTCAGCAGGACTTGGGAGGAGCCACCACGTCTCCAGGACACTCAGAAGTACACCGAGTCCTCACTATCGATGACCCCTTGCTCATCGAATTTTCGGATCTGGGCCTTGAGGTGCCTCAGTTTACCCTTCAGGTAGTGACAGCGAGCCTGCTTATCCAGGAAGCCAGGATCCTGGGGGGAAAGAGCTGAGGGAGTCCTCTTGGCACTCTAACCGGAGGCCCTCAAGATGTTCAGCTCTTTTCATTACAGGGCCCCAGCCTCAGGACAGGACCAGGGGCCACCAGACCAAGTGCACTCACCGCCCGCTTCTTCTCGAGCTCTTCCCGGACACGAGCTGCCACGAGAGCCTCCTTCTGAAAGGGCAGGGTGTGGAGGGGCTCAGGAGGGAGGACGTGGCTGTGACAGCAGTGCCCCCCACCCGGCAGAGGCAGCACAGACGCGGGAGCTGGGGACTCCAGAGGCCCGGGACTGACCCGGCTTCGCGGCGGGGGCAGCGACACCAGTAGGGCCTCCAGCTGCCGCAGCTTGGCCTGCGTGGCCCCCACGTCGTGCTGGAGCTCCGAGAGCTCTCCGTGCTGGTCCCGGAACACTGCGGCATAGCGACTCCGGTCCCTGGCGCTGCTCACTGGCGGGTACTTACTACGGATGGAGGGGGTCAGTGTGTGGGTGGAAGGGCGCGCGCCTTTCCTCTCCGTCGAGGCTACTGGCCTTTCTTTGCGCATGCGGGGACCCCAACTCACACGCCCTCATTCCCTAACTTGGCACCGACCCGCCCTAGTCCCCAGGCACCAAGAAGCACAAGGTTCGAGACTTTCAGAGGCTAGCCTGGGCTACAAAGGCAAACCCCGGCTTTACAACAAAAAGCCACAGTGGGGCACTCACAGCTCATAGTCAGGCACTGGGGCGGGGCAGGGCCCCAGAGCTTTGGGAGGCTCCTCCGTGTGCACGGCGGCCCGGGGGCGTAGCTCATCCGCAAACACGATCTTCCGGGGCCTCGTGCGGAGCTCCCCAAGCCCGGGCTGGCACTGCGGCCCACGAGCACCGGACGCCGGGCCTCGAGACACCAGCGTCTGCGAGGCAGCGTGGATGGTTAAGAGGTGTCAACAGCGGGGTGCCCTACCCGGGGGCTCCAAGTGTGCCACTCACCCGGGGCTCGGGGCCGGCCGGGTGCGGCTGCGGGCGCTCCCGGGTGGGCATGCGCGGGGCCGCGGCGTTCGGGCGCCCCCCGGCGGCGGGGCGCGGGCTGCAAGCAGTGTTGCGGGCTGCGCCCCGGGCGCTGGGTCTGCAGGCGGCCGGAGGGCGGCGCGGGCCGCGCCTGGAGGCGGGGCCTGCAGGTATTTGCATACACGGGCGCCGTTGGCTGGCCGCGCACCCCAGACTCCGCCCCTTAGCCGCGGACCCCGGAAGGGGGCGCTGAGGAGGCGCCAAGGGTCACCACGCCCTCATTTGCGTGAAGGCCCGCGGTTGGCTGCCCGCGGCCCGGCCCCGCCCCCGCCCCGAGCCGGAAGGGCGCGAGCGGATCCTGACGCCTCGGGCCCCGGGCGGGTCCACGCGACCCCCGCGCCTACCGCCGCGGCCCCGGCCCCGCCGGTTCCCAGCTCCGTCCGTCCGCCTGCCGGCCTTCCGGGCCTCCCTCGGCGTCACCGCTCCAGAGTCGCGGACCCGCGCCGGGCTGTGAGGCCGGGACGCGGCTGCGCAGGAACTGCGTGCCGATCCGCTGGCCGGGGCGGGGCTGAGACCGCCGGGGCGGGGCTGCGGCCGCCGGGCGGGGCTGAGACCGCCGGGGCGGGGCTGCGGGATGCCGATGCCGGGTCTGAGTTAGGCCTCCAGGGCCGCTGTCACCTCCCCAGATCTGTTTGGTGGGGAAAATGGAGTTTCACCCACTGGGCCAGCTCAGGCCTCTGGCTCTTCCTCTGCTTCCGCGTCTTGTTTGACGAGGCCGGGATCACAGGCTCGTACACCCCACCCGGCACACTGAGGATCTGAACCCAGGTCTGCATGCGGACGCTTGCTCCACCGATAGATGCGGGGTGGGGACATGATCCCTTTGGGTTGCGGTCCGGGCACCCTGCGTCTCCAGCGTCTGTTTACCTCCATTATGTGAGATATCTGTCACCCTTTATCTGGGCGTCCGTGGATTTCCCTGCCCTGCCTTCACTTGGCACCCAACATGGGGCTCAAACCCACAGCCCACCACCCCGCAACAAGCACTTTTACGAGTCGTTGCCCTAGCCTCTAAAAAAGAAAAAAAATTAAAGCCGGGCGGTGGCGGCGCACGCCTTTAGTCCCAGCGCTCGGGAGGCAGAGGCAGCGGATCTCTGTGAGTTCAAGGCCAGCCTGGTCTACAGAGTGAGTTCCAGGACAGAGAAACCCTGTCTGGAAAAACAACGTTTAGACTTACTGTGTTAATTAGGGGTGTGTGTGCTTGCAGTGAGGGCAGCTGCTCAGAGGCCGGTGTCTGATTCCCTGGAACTTGAGTTTCGTATTTATTATTATGTATTTCGTTTGTGTGAGCTCCTTCCAGTGTGTTCCCGAGGGCACTCGGGCTGCGGCAGCGCCTTCACTGGGTGAACTGTCGCACAAGCCTTTCTTTGCCGTTTTGGAGGACAGGGTTGGGGCCGCACTGTGCTGGCGACGCCACTCCAGCAGCGCTGAGGGCGCGAGGGCGGTGACTTTACTTCAGCCTGGGCACGATTCTGATGAACAGGATCATGCTGATGAACACGAAGCAGACGACGATGAGCATGGCCCACAGCAGCCAGTTCACCGACTTCTGCGCGTGCTGCTCCAGCCGCTCCGACTCCACCTTCAGCTTCTCCAGGTTCTGGTCAGCCATCTTGAGGGAGTGTGACAGGGTCTGTGGGAGACGCGGACGGTGTCAGCAGGACGAGACCAAGCTTGGCCTCCCTCTGCTGGGCCTGCCTCAGCCATCCCCTCCTTGGGCTGCACCAAGCTCCTGCTAACCCTACAAACACCGACCACAGCCCTGTTCCGCAGAGCTGTCAGCCGTCTGTCTCCCTACCTGGTTGTCCTTCTTGATGACGCTCTGGGCGGCCAGTGTGTGGGTCTTGAGGCTGCGCGCCAGGCCCAGCATCTCCTCCGCCAGCTTCTCCTGGAGGCCCTGGTGCCTCTGGAGCACGAGGTCGAGCTCGGACGCCGAGTGCTTCTCATCTGCGGGTCTGGACCCATTTGCTCTGCTGACGCCACATGGAGCGGTGCCAGGGGTGACGGCAGACACGCAGACACCACACGCAGACGCCCAGGGCCCGTGCAATCACTGCATGTTCTGCTCTGCTCGGCTCCGCAGCCCCAGAGTCTCCCATTGGGCAGTGGGCCCTTGTGGCAGCACCCGGGGGCCCCAGCGCCACCCAGCCCAGCCTCCCTACCACTCGGTGGCTAACATACTCACGTGCGCTTCCTCACGTCCATCTCTAGCTCTGGAAGCACAAGAGGCCAAGGACAAAGTGTGCTTTTCTGTTCCCAAGTAGCCAGTGTGCTGCCCTGCCCGTGGGCTGCCGTGCGCTAACCAGTGTGCTGCGCTAACCAGTGTGCTGCCCTGCCCATGGGCTGCCGTGCGCTGGACTCGTCACACTTCAGAGCCCTTGCAGGGTGTCCCCGAAGGGCATCTTTCCTACCCCCAGGTCCCTGTCAGTGGCCTAGCTCGGAGCTTGTTGCTGTGTCTCCGGGGACACCTGTCTCAGCCTCCCTCAAGCGTGACTCAGCTGACCCGGGTGGTCCTGGGAGGCAGCTTCATGGGGACGGCAGGGCGGCAGGGACAGGGAGGGGCAGCCGGCGAGACTCACCTCCAGACGAGTCCTGTGGAGAGAGGGGAGGGCGGGCGTGAGGCGATGAACTCGGGTGCCCTCCCTACCTGGCTCTCTGCTCGGGGCCGACCCACGCACCGTGCTCTGCTGGGGTAACTCTGGGGCTTAGCAAACATCGTCCCCTTTTTCTCTTTGGCGTCTGAGACGGGGTCCCTTACGCAGCCCTGGCTGTCCTGGAACTCGCTCTAGGCCAGGCTGGGCTGAACCCACATGGATAAACCCGCCTCTGCCTCCCGAGTGCTGGGACTGAAGGCGTGGCCAGCCCTGGGCGCACACCTTCCACGAGCCGGATCCTATCCCTTTAGCCATGTGTTGAGCTCGACCCGTCTGGGGACGCCTTGCCGTCCCTCACAGAATGCTGCTGCCGTCCCCAGGGCCGTCCCGGGGACAGGGAGGCGCCTACCGTGCCCAGCAGCTCGCTCCGCATCTCACTGGTGTAGCGCGCCCGGGACTGCAAATGGACGGTCTTGGTGGCGGGCACGCGCTCCGCAGCTGTGGTGGGCACGCGGCCGGGGGCCAGGAACTGGTTAGCCAGGGCCTTCTCAGAGGAGGAGGGCTGGGGACACGGGGGAGGCGTCACCGAGGGCCGCGTCCGCGCCCTGCAGCGGGGCAGCCGGGGCAGCCGGGGCAGCTGGGGCAGGGGGCAGGCGGGGGCAGGGGCAGCCGGGGCAGGGGGCAGCCGGGGCAGGGGGCAGGCGGGGCAGGGGGCAGGGGGCAGGCGGGGCAGGGGGCAGGGGGCAGCCGGGGCAGGGGGCAGGGGGCAGGCGGGGCAGGGGGCAGGGGGCAGGCTCACCAGCCGCTCGGCCCGCAGCAGACCCTTCAGGAAGTCCACCTTGCGGGAGTACTCGCCGATGACCTCGGAGGCGGGCCTGCTGGGAGGCAGCGAGGGGGTCAGCCCGCCGCTGCGGCGGCCTGGGCGCGTCCCGTGCCCACTCTCACCTGGCCTGCACCTTCAGGGCCTGCAGCATGTCCTCCAGGGCTCCCACGTACTGCGGGGCGGGAGACCGCTGTCAGCGCGGCCGGGGGCGTGGCCGAGGAGGCGGGGCCGGGCGGGGAGTGACGGGTGGGGCGTGGCCGAGGGGGCGGGGCGGGGACTGGGGGCCGGGGGCGGGGCGGGGGCGTGGCCGAGGGGGGCGGGGAGTGACGGCCGGGGGCGGGGCCCGAGGAGGCGGGGCCGGGGCGGGGAGCGGGCGCTAACGGACGCAGTGAGGACACGGGCTACAGAGGGAACGACCCTGGGACAGGAGCCCGGACGTCCCGGGCCTGAGCGCCAGGGGGCGGAGCCGCACTGGACAGCACGGCGCCAGCCGGAAGGGGCGTGGCCAGCGGGTGGGTCGTCGGCCTCCGGGGCTCGAGGCCTCTGCGGCGGCGTGGGAGTTCCTCACCTTCTCCAGACGCCACTCGTTCGGTCCCCGCTTTTCTGCCGCCATCGATTCGCAGCGACACAGCAACCGCACCAGGTTCAACTCCAGCCGCGACGTCGCCAGCGAGCGGTGAGCGGCCCCTTCCGCCTGCGCCATCTTAGGAAAGGGCGGAAGTGCCTGCGGGGTGTTTCCTTTGGGCGGTGGTCCCCCCCTTGGAGGTCCGCCCTGCTAGGCTCGGGCGGAAGTAGTTTGTGCCGTGCGTGCTTCTCCAACGGGAGTCGTCACCTGTCGCCCAGGAGAGCGTCTTTTTTACCTGTGGTTTTGCTGTTTGGTCTTTTGCCGGCTTCCGAGGCCGGGCGCCGATCACGCCTGTGGGCCGGAAGGGCGCTCCCGGGTCCCTGCGTTCCGCTTGCGCTCCCCTGGGCTCCACAGTCCGTCACCGCCTCCGCCGTCGGGGGCCTCGGCCAGCACTCCCGGCCCTCGCCTACCGACGCGTCGGGTGCGCGCTTCCGTCGGGCAGGCCGGCTGGTTCCCAGCCCTTCTGGAGTAAATCGCGGCCCGTTTTGTGGAGATGGAGCTCGCCAGCGACTCACAGGCTGCACGAGGAATCGGGCCTGACGGCAACACCAGTTCATCTCGGGTTGAACTTAGTCTGCTACGTGATTTTGCGGCGGAGGGTGGAGAATCTGGAGTGGAGCCTGTGCTGGATAGCAGAAGATTGTACCTCCCTGAAGAACTTAGCCAATAGGCAATCCAGGGGACAGGGACCGTCATGTAGGTTACAAAACATGGCAGGTATTTCTGCCTCCTTTTTTCTTTTTAAAATTATTATGTATACAGTGTTCTGCCTGCACATATGCCTGCAGGCCAGAGGAGGGACCAGATCTCATTACGGATGCTTGTGACCCACCATGTGGGAGCTGGGAACTGAACCCAGAGCTCTTAACTGCTGAACCATCTCCCTAGCCTCATCCAACTTAGTCTACAAAGTGAGTGCCAGGACAGCCAGGACCACACAGAAAGCCCTGTCTCAAAAAATGTATATATTTATTTTTAAATATGAATAAGTATATATTTAAATCTTAAAAATATCGGATCCCCTGGCTGTGAGGTTCACGTGGTTCTGGGACCTGAGCCTGCATCCTCTGAAAGAACAGTGAGCACACTTAACTTGTTTTTTTGTTTTACGAGACAGGGTTTCTTTGTATTGTTTTGGAGACTGTCGGTCCAGCCCGGCCTCGAACTCTTGGAGATGCCGGCCTCTGCCTCCTGAGTGCTGGGAGTCCCTCCCCAGCTCTCGAAGTTTACTTGGATACAGCGCTCATTCCTGAGTCCTGACTGGTCTCAAACTCACAGACCCTCTCTGGGGCTAAAGGCCTGATGCAGCACATGTCACTCCCATTTATCTGCATGGCTTTGGGGCTGACCCCACTGGGGTCAGATGCACCTAACCCTGAGAAGACTCCTGTGCGGTTTCCTCAGGGGTCCTTGGCTTTTAGGGGTGGGCGAGGTTTTGCTGTGTAGCCTTGGCTGGATTGAAACTCACTATGTTGAGCAGGCTGGCCTCAGCCAGAGATCCATCTGCCTCTGCCTTCCAAGTTTTGTGACTACAAGTGTGTGTCACCATGTGTACCCTTTGGTTTTTAATAAAGACTATCTTACAGTATTAAAATCTTTATCAAAAAAAAAAAAAAGGCAGGTGTAGCAAGTGGCCTGGTCCTACAATCTCAACATTGAATGGAGCCAAGCCAGACAGCTCAGGTCAGAGCTGTCTCAAAAAGATGAGGTGGAGAGCCCCAGAGGAAGACACCACATTGACCTCTGCTCCACACAGGAACACAGAGATAAATTAAGGCAATTTTAAACTACCAAGAGCAAGCTAACATTAGCCATCCAACACAAAACCAGAAGGCAAGCAGCTATGGCTGACTGCTGTACTGCTCCCAGCAGACACCCCCAGTCCCCAGCCTCAAAAGCTGAAGCAGGAAGACTTGTTGTATGAGCACCAGCAGGCCTGAGAAGCAAAAGTGCAGCAGCCATGCCACACCAGCAGAGCGGGCACAGCAGGCTCTCCCGGAACACACACAGCCCTCATGTGCGTGGAGGGCTGTGACCGCACAACACCCTGGCCAAACCTTCCTGGCAAGATAAGCCTGTCCTCTGCCCACTTTTCACAGACGGCTTGGCGATGCCCTCCTTTGCCTCCCTATGATGTAATGGCATGGGGTTCCATACAAGACTGAAGCAGCCAGTTCCTGTGATAGAGCACATTGTATAGCCCTGGAACTTGTTACCTAGACTGGGCTGGCCTCAAACTCAAGTGTTGTGTTCTCCTACCTCTGCCTCAGGAGTGTTGGTATTTGTATGCCGAGCTCTATTTATCTGTCTGTCTCTCTGTCTGTCTATGTGTCTATTACATTGCAATCCCAGTTCTCCCCCCACTTCCCCCTCCTGCACCTGCCATCTGCTTCTTGGAGAGGGTGAGGCCTCCCCTAGGAAGTCTACAAAGTCTGTCCCATCATCTCCTTGAGGCAGGACCAAGACTCCCCTCCCATCCCTTGTGCTTAGGCTAAGCAAGGTATCTCTCCATAGAGAATGGGCTCCACTAAGTCAGTTTGTGAATTAGACTTAGATCTTGGACCCACTGCCAGTGGCCTCACAAATTGCCCCATCTGCGCCAATGTCACCTGTATTCAGAGAGTCTAGTTCCAGCTTAACAGCTTCCCCATTTGTCAGACCTGGGTCAGTGATCTCTCACTAGCTCGGGTCACCTGATTCTGTGGGTTTCCCCATCACCATCTTGACTCCTTTGTTCTTATTATTGCTCCTCCCTCACTCTGATTATATTCCAGGAGGTTGGCCCAATGGTTAGTTGTGAATTTCTGCATCTGCTTCCATCTGTTTCTGGAAGAGGGTTCTAGCTTCTCTGGGGTCGTGGATTGTAGGCTGGGTATCTTTATGTCTGTTATCCACTTATGAGTGAGAACACACTATATCTGTCTTTCTGGGTCTGGGTTACCTCACTCAGGATGGTGTGTGTGTGTGTGTGTGTGTGTGTGTGTGTGTGTGTTCCATCTATTTGCTTGAAATTTCAGGATGTCATTGTTTCTCACCAGTGAGTAGTACTCCATTGTGTAAATGTACCACATTTTCTTTATCCATTCTTCGGTTGAGGGGCATCTAGGCTGTTTCCAAGTTCTGGCTATTATGAATATTGTTGCTATGAACATAGTTGAGCAAATGTCCTTGTGGTGTGAGTGTGCCTCCTTTGGGTATATGCCCAAAAGTGGTATTGCAGGGTCTTGAGGTGGGTTGGTTCCCAATTTTGAGAAATCACCATAGTGATTTCCACAGCAGCTGTACAAGTTTGCACTCCCACCTGTAATGTCTCAGCCCCCAAATAACACACAGGACACTATATTAATTATGAAGCTGTTAGCCATTTGCTTGGTTTCTTATCAGCTAGCGCTGACTTAATTATTAACCCATAACTGCTAATCTGAATATTTCCACGTGGTATTCTCTTACCGGAAAGAGTCAGGACCTCTTACTCCTCTGGCATCCTACATCGTGACTGACCATGCCTGTTTCCCAGAATCCTCCTTGACTCCTAGTCCCACCTATCTTGCTTCCATATTGGTCAACAGTGCTTTATTTAATCAACCAATAAAACAACATATACACAGAAGGACTTCCCCCATCACCCACCAGCAATAGAGGAGTGTTATCCTTACTCCACATCCTTTCCAGCATAAGCTGTCATTGGTGTTTTTGATCTTAGCCGTTCTGATCAGTGCAAGATGGAATCTCAGAGTTAGTTTTGATTTGCATTTCCCTGATGACTAAGGATGTTGAGCATTTTCTTAAGTGTCTTTTCAAGATTTGGGATTGTTCTGTTGAGAATTCTCTGTTTAGATCTGTACCCTATTTTTTAATTGGATTATTTGGTAGTTTGATAGCCAGTTTCTTGAGTTCTTTGCATATTTTGGAGATCATCCCTCTGTCAGATGTGGGGTTGGTGAAGATCTTTTCACATTCTATAGGCAGCTGTTTTGTCTTGTTGACTGTGTCCTTTGCTTTACAGAAGCTTCTCAGTTTCAGGAGGTCCCATTTGTTCATTGTTGTTCTCAGTGTCTGTGCTACTGATGTTTAGGAAGTGGTCTCCTGTGCCTATGAGTTTAAATGTATTTCCCACTTTCTCTTCTATGAGGTTAAGTGTGGATGGATTTATATTGAGGTCTTTGATCCATTTGGATTTGAGTTTTGTGTATGGCAATAGATATGAATTTATTTGCATTCCTCTACATATTGACATCCAGTTAGATCAACATCATTTGTTGAATATACTTTCTTTTTTTTTCTATTTTGTATTTTTAGCTTCTTTGTCAAAAATAGGTGTTCATAGGTGTTTGGATTGATATCAGGGTCTTCAATTCGATTCCATTGGTCCACCTGTCTGTTTTTATGCCAATACCAATCTGTTTTCATAATATAGCTTGAAGTCAGGGATGGTGATGCCTCCGGAAGTTCCTATATTGTACAGTGTTGTTTTGACTATCCTGGGTTTTTTTGTTTTTCCATATGAAGTTGATTATTGTTCTTTCAAGGTCTGTGAAGAATTGTGCTGGTATTTTGATGGGGATTGCATTGAATCTGTAGACTGCTGTGGGCAAGATTGCCATTTTTACTATGTTGGTCCTACCTATCCAAGAGCATGGGAGATCTTTCCATTTTCTGGTATCTTCTTCAGTTTCTTTCTTTAAAGACTTAAAGTTCTTGTCATACAGGTCTTCCACCTGTTTGGTTTAGTTACCCCAAGGTATTTTATGTTGTTTGTGGCTATGGTAAAGGGTAGTGCTTTTCTGATTTATTTTATGTTGTCTGTGGCTATGGTAAAGGGTGGTGTTTGATTTCTTTATTTTATGTTGTCTGTGGCTATGGTAAAGGGTGGTGTCTGTCTGGTTTCTTTCGTAGCCCATTATCCTGCCACATTACTGAATATGCTTTTTTTTAGCTGTACACGTTCTCTGGTAGAATTTTTGGGGTCACTTATTTAAGCTATCACATCATCAGCTAATAGTGCGAGTTTCACTTCTGATTTGTATCCCCTTGATCTCCTAGTGTTTCTTACTGCTCTAGCTAGAACTTCGAGTACTGTGTTGAATAGATA